GGTGAGGGCCAGGTGAGGTGAGGGTACAGGAGGGCAGGTGAGGCCAGGTGAGGTGAAGGGACAGGAGGCAGGTGAGGCCAGGTGAGGTGAGGGTACAGGAGGGCAAGGTGAGGCAGGAGGAGGTGAGGGGACAGGAGGGCAGGTGAGGCCAGGTGAGGTGAGGGTACCAGGAGGCAGGTGAGGCCAGGTGAGGTGAGGGTACAGGAGGGCAGGTGAGGCCAGGTGAGGTGAGGGTACAGGAGGGCAGGTGAGGCCAGGTGAGGTGAGGGTACAGGAGGGCAGGTGAGGCCAGGTGAGGTTGAGGGTACAGGAGGGCAGGTGAGGCCAGGTGAGGTGAGGGTTGACAGGAGGGCAAGTGAGGCCAGGTGAGGTGAGGGTACAGGAGGGCAGGTGAGGCCAGGTGAGGTGAGGGTACAGGAGGGCAGGTGAGGCCAGGTGAGGTGAGGGTACAGGAGGGCAGGTGAGGCCAGGTGAGGTGAGGGTACAGGAGGGCAGGTGAGGCCAGGTGAGGTGAGGGTACAGGAGGGCAGGTGAGGCAGGTGAGGTGAGGGTACAGGAGGGCAGGTGAGGCCAGGTGAGGGTGAGGGTACAGGAGGGCAGGTGAGGCCAGGTGAGGTGAGGGTACAGGAGGGCAGGTGAGGCCAGGTGAGGTGAGGGTACAGGAGGGCAGGTGAGGCCAGGTGAGGTGAGGGTACAAGGAGGGCAGGTTGAGGCCCAGGTGAGGTGAGGGTACAGGAGGGCAGGTGAGGCCAGGTGAGGTGAGGGTACAGGAGGGCAAGGTGAGGCCAGGTGAGGTGAGGGTACAGGAGGGCAGGTGAGGCCAGGTGAGGTGAGGGTACAGGAGGGCAGGTGAGGCCAGGTGAGGTGAGGGTACAGGAGGGAGGTGAGGCCAGGTGAGGTGAGGGTACAGGAGGGCAGGTGAGGCCAGGTGAGGTGAGGGTACAGGAGGGCAGGTGAGGCCAGGTGAGGTGAGGGTACAGGAGGGCAGGTGAGGCCAGGTGAGGTGAGGGTACAGGAGGGGCAGGTGAGGCCAGGTGAGGTGAGGGTACAGGAGGGCAGGTGAGGCCAGGTGAGGTGAGGGTACAGGAGGGCAGGTGAGGCCAGGTGAGGTGAGGGTACAGGAGGGCAGGTGAGGCCAGGTGAGGTGAGGGTACAGGAGGGCAGGTGAGGCCAGGTGAGGGTGAGGGTACAGGAGGGCAGGTGAGGCCAGGTGAGGTGAGGGTACAGGAGGGCAGGTGAGGCCAGGTGAGTGAGGGTACAGGAGGGCAGGTGAGGCCAGGTGAGGTGAGGGTACAGGAGGGCAGGTGAGGCCAGGTGAGGTGAGGGTACAGGAGGGCAGGTGAGGCCAGGTGAGGTGAGGGTACAGGAGGGCAGGTGAGGCCAGGTGAGGGTGAGGGTACAGGAGGGGCAGGTGAGGCCAGGTGAGGTGAGGGTACAGGAGGGCAGGTGAGGCCAGGTGAGGTGAGGGTACAGGAGGGCAGGTGAGGCCAGGTGAGGTGAGGGTACAGGAGGGCAGGTGAGGCCAGGTGAGGTGAGGGTACAGGAGGGCAGGTGAGGCCAGGTGAGGTGAGGGTACAGGAGGGCAGGTGAGGCCAGGTGAGGTGAGGGTACAGGAGGGCAGGTGAGGCCAGGTGAGGTGAGGGTAAGGGCCAGGAGGGCAGGTGAGGCCAGGTGAGGTGAGGGTACAGGAGGGCAGGTGAGGCCAGGTGAGGTGAGGTACAGGAGGGCAGGTGAGGCCAGGTGAGGTGAGGGTACAGGAGGGCAGGTGAGGCCAGGTGAGGTGAGGGTACAGGAGGGCAGGTGAGGCCAGGTGAGGTGAGGGTACAGGAGGGCAGGTGAGGCCAGGTGAGGTGAGGGTACAGGAGGGCAGGTGAGGCCAGGTGAGGTGAGGGTACAGGAGGGCAGGTGAGGCCAGGTGAGGTGAGGGTACAGGAGGGCAGGTGAGGCCAGGTGAGGTGAGGGTACAGGAGGGCAGGTGAGGCCAGGTGAGGTGAGGGTACAGGAGGGCAGGTGAGGCCAGGTGAGGTGAGGGTACAGGAGGGCAGGTGAGGCCAGGTGAGGTGAGGGTACAGGAGGGCAGGTGAGGCCAGGTGAGGTGAGGGTACAGGAGGGCAGGTGAGGCCAGGTGAGGTGAGGGTACAGGAGGGCAGGTGAGGCCAGGTGAGGTGAGGGTACAGGGAGGGCAGGTGAGGCCAGGTGAGGTGAGGGTACAGGAGGGCAGGTGAGGCCAGGTGAGGTGAGGGTACAGGAGGGCAGGTGAGGCCAGGTGAGGTGAGGGTACAGGAGGGCAGGTGAGGCCAGGTGAGGTGAGGGTACAGGAGGGCAGGTGAGGCCAGGTGAGGTGAGGGTACAGGAGGGCAGGTGAGGCCAGGTGAGGTGAGGGTACAGGAGGGCAGGTGAGGCCAGGTGAGGTGAGGGTACAGGAGGGCAGGTGAGGCCAGGTGAGGTGAGGGTACAGGAGGGCAGGTGAGGCCAGGTGAGGTGAGGGTACAGGAGGGCAGGTGAGGCCAGGTGAGGTGAGGGTACAGGAGGGCAGGTGAGGCCAGGTGAGGTGAGGGTACAGGAGGGCAGGTGAGGCCAGGTGAGGTGAGGGTACAGGAGGGCAGGTGAGGCCAGGTGAGGTGAGGGTACAGGAGGGCAGGTGAGGCCAGGTGAGGTGAGGGTACAGGAGGGCAGGTGAGGCCAGGTGAGGTGAGGGTACAGGAGGGCAGGTGAGGCCAGGTGAGGTGAGGGTACAGGAGGGCAGGTGAGGCCAGGTGAGGTGAGGGTACAGGAGGGCAGGTGAGGCCAGGTGAGGTGAGGGTACAGGAGGGCAGGTGAGGCCAGGTGAGGTGAGGGTACAGGAGGGCAGGTGAGGCCAGGTGAGGTGAGGGTACAGGAGGGCAGGTGAGGCCAGGTGAGGTGAGGGTACAGGAGGGCAGGTGAGGCCAGGTGAGGTGAGGGTACAGGAGGGCAGGTGAGGCCAGGTGAGGTGAGGGTACAGGAGGGCAGGTGAGGCCAGGTGAGGTGAGGGTACAGGAGGGCAGGTGAGGCCAGGTGAGGTGAGGGTACAGGAGGGCAGGTGAGGCCAGGTGAGGTGAGGGTACAGGAGGGCAGGTGAGGCCAGGTGAGGTGAGGGTACAGGAGGGCAGGTGAGGGCCAGGTGAGGTGAGGGTACAGGAGGGCAGGTGAGGCCAGGTGAGGTGAGGGTACAGGAGGGCAGGTGAGGCCAGGTGAGGTGAGGGTACAGGAGGGCAGGTGAGGCCAGGTGAGGTGAGGGTACAGGAGGGCAGGTGAGGCCAGGTGAGGTGAGGGTACAGGAGGGCAGGTGAGGCCAGGTGAGGTGAGGGTACAGGAGGGCAGGTGAGGCCAGGTGAGGTGAGGGTACAGGAGGGCAGGTGAGGCCAGGTGAGGTGAGGGTACAGGAGGGCAGGTGAGGCCAGGTGAGGTGAGGGTACAGGAGGGCAGGTGAGGCCAGGTGAGGTGAGGGTACAGGAGGGCAGGTGAGGCCAGGTGAGGTGAGGGTACAGGAGGGCAGGTGAGGCCAGGTGAGGTGAGGGTACAGGAGGGCAGGTGAGGCCAGGTGAGGTGAGGGTACAGGAGGGCAGGTGAGGCCAGGTGAGGTGAGGGTACAGGAGGGCAGGTGAGGCCAGGTGAGGTGAGGGTACAGGAGGGCAGGTGAGGCCAGGTGAGGTGAGGGTACAGGAGGGCAGGTGAGGCCAGGTGAGGTGAGGGTACAGGAGGGCAGGTGAGGCCAGGTGAGGTGAGGGTACAGGAGGGCAGGTGAGGCCAGGTGAGGTGAGGGTACAGGAGGGCAGGTGAGGCCAGGTGAGGTGAGGGTACAGGAGGGCAGGTGAGGCCAGGTGAGGTGAGGGTACAGGAGGGCAGGTGAGGCCAGGTGAGGTGAGGGTACAGGAGGGCAGGTGAGGCCAGGTGAGGTGAGGGTACAGGAGGGCAGGTGAGGCCAGGTGAGGTGAGGGTACAGGAGGGCAGGTGAGGCCAGGTGAGGTGAGGGTACAGGAGGGCAGGTGAGGCCAGGTGAGGTGAGGGTACAGGAGGGCAGGTGAGGCCAGGTGAGGTGAGGGTACAGGAGGGCAGGTGAGGCCAGGTGAGGTGAGGGTACAGGAGGGCAGGTGAGGCCAGGTGAGGTGAGGGTACAGGAGGGCAGGTGAGGCCAGGTGAGGTGAGGGTACAGGAGGGCAGGTGAGGCCAGGTGAGGTGAGGGTACAGGAGGGCAGGTGAGGCCAGGTGAGGTGAGGGTACAGGAGGGCAGGTGAGGCCAGGTGAGGTGAGGGTACAGGAGGGCAGGTGAGGCAGGTGAGGTGAGGGTACAGGAGGGCAGGTGAGGCCAGGTGAGGTGAGGGTACAGGAGGGCAGGTGAGGCCAGGTGAGGTGAGGGTACAGGAGGGCAGGTGAGGCCAGGTGAGGTGAGGGTACAGGAGGCAGGTGAGGCCAGGTGAGGTGAGGGTACAGGAGGGCAGGTGAGGCCAGGTGAGGTGAGGGTACAGGAGGGCAGGTGAGGCCAGGTGAGGTGAGGGTACAGGAGGGCAGGTAAGGGAAAGGAAGGAAACCATAGCTTTATAGAAAGGGCGGAAGTAAGAAGGGAGAGGGAGGTTGGGGTTGGCAGAGTTGATGTGAGTTGTGTGTGGAAGATGCAAAGAGGTCGTTGATGGCACAACGGGAAACAGGGGTGGTGCATGCAGGGTGCGTGCAGTGCAATGGTGTGTGCAGTGCAATGGTGTGTGCAGTGCAATGGTGTGTGCAGTGCAATGGTGTGTGCAGTGCAATGGTGTGTGCAGTGCAAGGGTGTGTGCCCCTGTGCGCACCCCATCCCTCTCATGTGCCCCTGTGCGCACTCCATCCCTCTCATGCGCCCCTGTGCGCACCCCATCCCTCTCATGCGCCCCTGTGCGCACCCCATCCCAGCCCCCCATGCCCGCCCCAACAGCCTGTCCACCTCATCCACATGCACGCCAGCTGGCGCCATCTTACTGGGCAGCGAGACGATGGCCCTCAATGACCTGTCCGCCACTGGGGGAGGAGGTAGGGAGGGAGAGGAGAAGGAGAGGCGGAAGGACCGAGAAGGGGACAAGGGGGGATGTCAGCAGGTGAGGAGTGGTTGAAAGGGAGGGAGGAGGAGGGAAGGGGTGGGAAGAGAAGGGAAAGGGAGGGAAATGGAGGTAAGGGGAGGGAAGAGGAAGGAAGGGGATGGAAGAGAAGGGAAAGGAGGGAAGAGGAGGGAAGGGAGGGAACATGAGGAAGTGAAGGAAGGGAGGGAGGGAAGAAAGGAACGCTCCCAACTGCTCCCCCACCCAACTGATCCCCATCCCCCCAACTCCCCATGCTTCCCCCGACTGATTCCCGCCCTCACAACTCCCCATGCTCCCCCCAGCTAATCCCCAAGAAACGTTCCTCCATCCCTGCTCACCTTGCTCCAGCAGCGGGTGAGCGAGGGTGATGCTGTCGATATGAATGCAGGTGAGGTGCTTTGCGGATATTATGAGGTGGCAGGCAGAGCGGGGAGAGTGGAGGGGACGAGCAGGGGCGTGGCTTGAGTGGCCTTGCACCACACGTCAGTGCATTTCATCTTGCTGTGTGTAGAGGGGAAGGAGTGGAAACGGAAGAGAGGGAAGGGGGAGGAGAGGCGGAAAGTGGGGAAGAAGGGGTAGTGATGAAGAATATAGAAGGGAGCAGCTGAACGGATGCAGGGCTGGATGGTTGGGTGGTGGGAGGAAGCGAATGGTGAGGATGCTGGTGGGGACGTGCATGGGATGGGGCATGGCAGGCACGCATGCCGTCAGGCTGTGGTAGGCAGAAAGAAAGGCCAACACGTAACTCAGGCACTGCAGTAAGCATGTGAAACGATGGGATGGCACCATGTAACAATGTGAGAAAATTCGAGACAATGAAACACAATGAATGACAAATGTGGCAAATGTGTGTTAGTGAGTGCGGGCGCACACGTGGCTGCACCTACACGCACACGTGGCTGCACCTACCTGCACACGTGGCTGCACCTACACGCACACGTGGCTGCACCCACACGCACACGTGGGTGCACCTACACGCACACGTGGCTGCACCTACACGCACACGTGGGTGCTCAGCAGGTGTGGAGAATATGAGTGGCGAATGAGAGTCGCTACTGGGTCAAGGCTTCCAGCACCACGCTCGCACACGAAGTTCATGTCATAAACCCACCTCGCACAGTCCACTCACCATGCGATCGCATTATCCAGCACCAATTGATACAAATGTGATTCAAGAAAGGAACGCCCTGAGAGGATCAGAGCTGGCACGCTCAACGCGCCACGCACGACTCACTCGCGTCGTCCAGCGCCCTGCTGAACCCCACGTGGCAGCCCCTCAGCGCGCCGTCAGCTGCTCATCGCCTCTCACGATCGACGACCCTCATCGCCCACCCCATGCACCGATCCCTCAGCCATGCCGCGTGCGCGCAACACACGGAGTGACGGAAGGCGTTCGGATCATCCTTTAAACGCACTCATATCCGAGCGAGACCCACTGCGCGTGTCACGTGGCTGTGCTACGTGGAACGAATACTCGATAACGGAGACGACTTGGATGGATTGATGCGCGGAAGCACGCGGCGAGATTGATGCACGAGGAGCGCGAAGCGAACGAAACTGCAACCCGAATAAGCGCGGGATTCCTGAGGAAGCTATTCTCGAGTTTGCGGGCTGGTCGCTTCCGTTGCTGGTGGCGGACCTGTGGGCATGAGATGGCTCGGACTGTGCGACATGCTAACGAAGCAGTTACCGCAACAGCGACGAAAACAAAAACAAGTAAGACGAAAAGCAAAACGAGTGCCTGCGATGTTCGGGGCAGAATGGCGCAAACTGCGCCGTCGATCGCGCTATGCTAATCACCACGTAGCTAAAAACGTGCGAAACTGCTGGTGAGTTGTGGGGTGAGGATATGAGGAGGTCGCTCGCAGGATGACGAAATGCGTGACCTGAGTCCAGGAAAAAGGTTGGGAGCCATCGAATTCAGGATGGAGCTAGACCCGAGAAATGGAAGTGCTGTCAGTTTTACCCTCAAAATCAGGTCCTCTTGAGATTTGCAAGGAAACCACCTCCTTCGATCTTTGAGTGACGTTTACAGCGTAATCTCCTCTTCTTAATAAACGAGAACACTTACGTGATGTTCAGAGTCGGTTTGAGACGAAGCGGAGACTGTGGGTGGTTTGACATTTGTGATCTACACTACTGGGGCTGTTCGGACTGAATAGAGGGTGCCCCCATGGAAACACTATCTCATATCCAACACCCTTATGTAAGCGCAAGGATCCAGTGAAAGGGTCCTCTGAAACGATTTGCACCATAACATGGAAAATGTTTGACATTTACATCGTAATAGAAGTCACGAGAACCTCTGTAACGAGTTTAGGTTCCAAATCTTGGAACTTCGACGCTATGTCCCCTCGATAATCTCCTAGCCACCACCGCTAAATTCACGGAGCGTTTGCTTGGCTGTTCGTTTTGCCACTACCATACCACGACCCTAGACAACTCCTCGGGCAGTGATCATACGCCCTCGCTTGTCTGCCAGGCGTTGCCAAACCTAGAGTAGGTTTCTGCCCAGATTTTATTTTGCTCGGGCGAACATGAAGCTCGGGAGCGTGGTTGCGTTCACATCACCACGAGGCGCCGGATCTCTCGCAAGAAGGCTCGGTATATTTCCGAGACACAAATTCCTAGCTCAAAGAGGGCAGCGGAACCCAAAACTTTCGCGCCGCTCTTGCCCGAACCCCCATGAGAATCGATTAGCCAGCCAATTCGTTTCAAAGAATGCCCTACTTGATTATTTTGACCCGGGCAGCATGCCAGGACAGAGCTCAGGAATTCCCGGAGCCTGCCGGTTCGGCAGCACTTCCAGGAGGCTCTCGTTCCTCCCATTTCGTCCCCTCGACTGCTCCTACCCACAACGCTCCCTCTGCCTTGCCTCTTGCCTCGTCTTCAAATTCGCATTACCACAACCTAGTCATTTTCAGAGCATACTTCTCAGATTTCCAGCACCCTTAAGCCTACCCTCGTTATTGTTACCAGAATTCTCAACCGTTAAGCTCCACTGTCAAGGCCTGTAGCTTCTCGTTTACCGTTCCAACTTCGAATCAACTATGGCTGACTATTCGGCTGGTTATCCTACCTTCTATGAAGCGCCAGCCTCCTTCAGGAACAGGATTGCACTCATGCAATCAGTGCTTCAAGTCCCGACCTCCACACCTCTGCATCTGGCTGCGGAGGAAGAGGACACGTGGAACCACGCCTCGTGGGACTCCTCTTCTGCTGCAGAGGAGTCTTATGAGGCTCCAGAAGGCTCCTCTGTGACGGCAGAGACGTCTTATGAGGCTGCAGATTACTACTCTGAAGCCTCACAAGATCATTCTGCTGGTGCTGAGGACATTTCGGAAGAGACGTCTTGTGAAGCTGTAACGTACGCTCTTGAAGCCTCACCAGAAGTTTCTGGTGCCTCTGAGGGCCTGACGGAGACTGCAGAGGCTCCGCTTGAGGCGGCAGAGGATTCCAGCAGCAGCTGCAGCGACGGTGGCGTGTCCAAGAAAGAGAGCATCTCCAAAATCGGAATTTGCAGCGGTGACAATCACAGCAGCAGTTTTGGTTTTACCATGGCGTGGGCTCAAGTCACCAAAGAAGTGCTGAGTGGTGTTTTCAACGCCTTAAAAAACGGCAGAAACTGTGGGACCAAGAAATCGGCTGAAACTGCAGCAGTGGTGGGTGGTGCAGTGGTGGGTGGTGCAGTGGGTCCCGCTGCAAGCACAGCTCGGTCGATTGCAGGCAAGGGCTCAGCTTCGAGAATGGCAGCAGACAGGCTGAGGGAGCTGCCTTCCCGCATCCCCAAGCCAAGCAAGGGCAGTGCAGGAGGTGCTGTGAAGCATGGGACGAGGCCGGCAGCAGCAAGTGCATGCCTGCCGCCGTCCCTCATTCCCAAGCCACGGTCAGCCAAGACTGCACCTGCTGCGGTGGCGGGCTCAGGGACGGCCGAGACTGCTGTGGTAACCCGTCCTGTGGTCAGAGCAAGCAGCAGCACAAGGCAGCAGCAGGAGAGGAGGAATGGCAGTGCGGAATGCAGGGGAAGGCATCCTATTAGGGCAAATAAGGCAACAACAACAGCAGCAAGGCCTCCGTGGAGGCCGTGAGAGGTGCAGTGTGCCGTTCATTACAGTCACCTCGCTATGCAACTTGCTCACCGTGCTCCTCCCCTACTCCTGCTGTTTTGAGAATCTTCTTCATGCGCTGACAGGTTGCAGTCAGACAGAATTCAAAGCAGCAAAGACTTTGGTGTCGCAGCATTAAAAAAAAAAAAAAAAAAAAAAAAAAAAAAAAAAAAAAAAAAAAGAGGGGGGGAGGGGGGGAATAGAGGGGGAGGGTGGGGGGGGCGGTTGGCAGTTGATGTGTGTTGTGTGTGGATGGTGCAAAGAACAGGTGGTTGGTGGCAACACGGGGCACAGCCGTGGTGCATGTGCAGAGTACGTGCAGTAATGAAGGGGTGGTGACGACAACATGCTTCTCACACATGCTGCTGGATCCCCCATGTGCTTCACTCTACACAAGGTACCGCTCTGCACAGCAACACATGACTCACAACACATCACACATGACTCACAACACACATGACTCACACCACACATGACTCACAACACACATGACTCACAACACACATGACTCACAACACACATGACTCACACCACACATGACTCACAACACACATGACTCACAACACACATGACTCACACCACACATGACTCACAACACACATGACTCACAACACACATGACTCACAACACACATGACTCACATCACACATGACTCACAACACACATGACTCACAACACACATGACTCACATCACACATGACTCACAACACACATGACTCACAACACACATGACTCACACCACACATGACTCACAACACACATGACTCACACCACACATGACTCACAACACACATGAGTCACAACACACATGACTCACATCACACATGACTCACAACACACATGACTCACAACACACATGACTCACAACACACATGACTCACAACACACATGACTCACACCACACATGACTCACAACACACATGACTCACAACACACATGACTCACAACACACATGACTCACAACACACATGAATCACATCACACATGACTCACAACACACATGACTCACAACACACATGACTCACAACACCCATGACTCACAACACACATGACTCACAACACACATGACTCACAACACCCATGACTCACAACACACATGACTCACATCACACATGACTCACAACACACATGACTCACAACGCACATGACTCACATCACACATCACTCACAACACACATGCACCTTGACGGGGGAAGGAGGAGATGGAGAGTTCCAGCATTCAACAGAGCAGGGCAGAGCAGAGCAGGGCAGAGCAGAGCAGAGCAGGGGATGACTTGCAAGGTCTTGCCCTCGCTGTTCACGCACACATGACTCACAACACCCATGACTCACAACACACATGACTCACAACACACATGACTCACAACACCCATGACTCACAACACACATGACTCACATCACACATGACTCACAACACACATGACTCACAACGCACATGACTCACATCACACATCACTCACAACACACATGCACCTTGACGGGGGAAGGAGGAGATGGAGAGTTCCAGCATTCAACAGAGCAGGGCAGAGCAGAGCAGGGCAGAGCAGAGCAGAGCAGGGGATGACTTGCAAGGTCTTGCCCTCGCTGTTCACGGGTAGTTCGTGCAGCATCGAATAAGAGGGGTTCAGGGATGGTTTGGCTTGAGCGGACAACGGGGAAGCGACAAGTGGACGGGGAACAAGGAGGGAGAACAGCAGAGAAGAGGAGAGAAGCGAGGAGAGTGGAGATTAAGGGGGGGACACACAAGGCGAGTGATGTACCATTTACATGCAAGTCACATGCAAGTCACATGCAAGTCACATGCAAGTCACATGCAAGTCACATGCAAGTCACATGCAAGTCACATGCAAGTCACATGCAAGTCACACGCAAGTCACACGCAAGTCACATGCAAGTCACATGCAAGTCACATTCAAGTCACATACAGGTCACATTTAAGTCACATTCAGGTCACATTCACATTCAAGGCACATTCAAGTCACATCTAAGTATGTACAATGACTTCTCTCGTTCTCATATACTGCAAACTTGTTCCCATGCCCAGCATACCCCATGCCCACCCCAAGCTCAGCACACCCCAAGCTCAGCACACCCCAAGCTCAGCACACCCCATGCCCAGCACACCCCATGCCCAGCACACCCCATGCCCAGCACACCCCATGCCCAGCATACCCCCTAACTGAATGGGAAAGGTGGCGAGTTGCGCCTGCACCTCCGCCGCCGCCTCCTCTGCCCCCTGTGCTGCACCCTGCCATGCATCATGCTGAGAGGGGAAGGGCGGATGGGGGAAGCGGGAGAGGCAATGGGGACGGGGAGAGGGATGTGAGTAGGGAGATGTAAGGTGTTGCTATGCCGTGCATGATGGTGCTGAGAAGACGGGGAGGGGAGAGGGGAGGGAGGGGAAAGAGGACGAAATGGGGAAAGAGAGGGGAAACACACCTTTTTACTAAGATGACAAGCTAGCTCTTTCTCCCTCCCTCCCCTCCTCGCCCTCCTTCCTCTCCGCTTCAATCCCCTTCCCCTCACCCTCCTTCTCCTCGCCCGTTTGCTCCGTCTGCTGCGCCCTGCATCACAGCGTGGGAAAGCTTATTGACAGGAATACCCCCTTGATAGCAGTGTGGGTTCGGTACCTGGGGAGGGGACGATTAGAAGGTGGGTAGAGGGCGGTAGAGGATGATAGGGGAGTTGAGGGTGGGTAGAGGTGAGTATAAGTTGGGTTGGGAGAGGTGGGTGGAGGTGGGTAGTGGTGGGTAGAGGCGGGAGTGTAATTGCTTACTGAGTTGCTCTGCCCACTTTGCCTCATCCCTCCCTCCCCCTCCTTCTCCCCAGCAGCCCACAGTGAGTGTTTCGCAGCGCACCTAAACGCCCTTCCAACACTCACAGCGAGCAGCAGCTCCTGCAACAGCAGTTGTTGAGACGCCTGAAAGGGAGAGTGAGAAACGTGAGGAGAAGAACAACTGCTGCACCCACCACCCCAGCCCCACCCACCACCCCAGCCACACCCACCACCCCACTAACACCCACCACCCCACTAACACCCACCACCCCACTAACACCCACCACCCCACTAACACCCACCACCCCACTAACACCCACCACCCCACTAACACCCACCACCCCAGCCACACCCACCACCCCAGCCACACCCACCACCCCAGCCACACACACACACACTATTCACAGAGTCTTGGCATGCTCCAGGAGGGCTGCCAATGGGTGCTCCAGAGGACGAGAGTCCAGGTAGCTGGGGAAGGAGGGGGTGCGGAGAGAGGGTGGGGCAGTAGCAGCTTCATCAGCCCGTGGAACTGGAAGATGTGAGTCTTGGCGCGTGAGAGGAGCGCTAGTAATCGGCGATTCAAAGGAAGGAAATCCACATAGAGGGGATAGGAGTGGGGAGAAGGGGGAAGGGTGCGAGCAGCAGCAGCAGCAAGAGGAGAGGAGAGGAGGGCTGGTAACTGGCTTCTCACAGGTTCCAACAGGAAGATGTGTCTTGGTCCGCAGGAGGTGGGCTGGTAACTGGCACTCCAAAAGCAAAGGTTCCAGGTAGGTGGGGAGAGAGGGGGAGATGGTGAGGAGGGGACGGAGGGTGGAGAAGCGGGCGAAGTGCAAGATGTGAGTCACCACCTACAAGCGGAGGGCTAGCAGTGGGCATTCATTTCAGGGGAAAGAGTCCAATCCAGGTTTAGGGGCTGCGAGTGGGACTGAAAAAGAGGCGATTTCATCACGCATCTCGTAGCCTAGCCAAGCCACACATGTCATCACAGGCACACGTTTCATAGTCACACATGTCATAGTCACTTACGCTTCAGTCACACTGGCAGTCCCAGCACAGGTGTTTGTAAGGAGGAGAGTCACACATGGCATCGTCACATTGGTCTCAACTCAATGCCACTCGCAGGCCACTCGCACGGCTCTGGAAGAGGCCTGAGAGGCTGCGGATCCCAGCCCAGCAGCAGCAGCAGCAGCAGCAGCAGGCAGGCACGCACCCACCAGCATTTGGATGTAACCAGCACCGCACTGTAGGGGTGGTGGAGGAGGAGGGACAGGAGGAGGGACAGGTGGAGGGGGGTTGGACAGGGGAAAGACTTGAGAGGGGGAGGGAGCGTGAGGAAGCCAGCAGTGCTTGCTTGATGTGGTGGTGGTGGTGGGGGGTCGGTTAATGGGGTGGAGCAGGTGGCGTAGAAAGAGCCGCAGGGGGAGGCATGATGTGGAGGAAGGAACCTAGGCGGAATGTGGAGCAGGCGGACGGAGAGGAGTTTAAGTGGCCTGAATACAGGCCGCACAGGGAGAGTGGTGTGGGAGGTGGAGGGGGAGGGGTGAGGGGGGGGGGGGGGGGGGGGGGGGGGGGGGGGGGGGGGGGGGGTGAGGGGGAAGGTGTTGGATACATGGGAAGGGGAGATGGAAGTGGAGGGGAGGGGGAGATGGAAGTGGAGGGGGCGGGGGAGATGGAAGTGGAGGGGCGGGGGAGTTGGGGAAAATGGCGGACGTAGGGGCAGGGGAAGCGGGAGGTGTGAGGGGAGGAGGGAGTGGGACAGGCACCAGACACTGGGCAATGACATGAGAGGAGAAGCCAGCAGTGGCCTTGGAAAGGGTGCGTGGCAGGGCGGCTAGTGAGTGTGTGCGGGGGTGTGGAGTGGCAGATGTGGAAGGAGAATCACCTTTCGCAGGCCAGGCTTCAAAACGTGAGAAGCGAAAATACGGTAACATTGATAGTTGCGTGCTGGGTTGATACGGTAGAAATGAGAGTGCCGGGTGGGTGCTGCTGCCAGATCTCCCAACCGCTGGCCGATGCTTGCACTGCGGCTTCAATAGCCCCACCCCCCCTTTGTTTTCCGAGCTAGGACTAGACCTCGGGTCTACCCCGGATAAATACGGTAACATCAATTTCATTGGAAAATAGCCAGAGCTACCAGCCTACCACCATAGCAGCTGTGCAAGCTGAATGATACAGGAAATAAATCTCAGCAGCATGCTAGCTCACGCCCATCTCCATGACAACTACACACCATGATAAACAAAGAACATCAGCACGACAACTAACCATCTGTCCACCGCCACCAGCATAAGCAAAGAAATATGGAGACTCATTTTCAGCCAACACCACACATGATCGTCAGCCAACACCACACATGATTTTCAGGCAACACCACACATGATTTTCAGCCAACACCACACATGATTTTCAGCCAACACCACACATGATTTTCAGCCAACACCACACATGATTTCAGCCAACACCACACATGATTTTCAGCCAACACCACACATGATTTTCAGCCAACACCACACATGATTTTCAGCCAACACCACACATGATTTTCAGCCAACACCACACATGATCTTCAGCCAACACCACACATGATTTTCAGCCAACACCACACATGATTTTCAGCCAACACCACACATGATTTTCAGCCAACACCACACATGATTTTCAGCCAACACCACACATGATTTTCAGCCAACACCACACATGATTTTCAGCCAACACCACACATGATCTTCAGCCAATACCACACATGATTTTCAGCCAACACCACACATGATTTTCAGCCAACACCACACATGATTTCAGCCAACACCACACATGATTTTCAGCCAACACCACACATGATTTTCAGCCAACACCACACATGATCTTCAGCCAACACCACACATGATTTTCAGCCAACACCACACATGATTTTCAGCCAACACCACACATGATTTTCAGCCAACACCACACATGATTTTCAGCCAACACCACACATGATTTTCAGCCAACACCACACATGATTTTCAGGCAACACCACACATGATTTTCAGCCAACACCACACATGATTTTCAGGCAACACCACACATGATTTTCAGCCAACACCACACATGATTTTCAGCCAACACCACACATGATTTTCAGCCAACACCACACATGATTTTCAGCCAACACCACACATGATTTTCAGCCAACACCACACATGATTTTCAGCCAACACCACACATGATTTTCAGCCAACACCACACATGATCTTCAGCCAACACCACACATGATTTTCAGCCAACACCACACATGATTTTCAGCCAACACCACACATGATTTTCAGCCAACACCACACATGATTTGTCAGAATGTTATAATTGTCTAGCCTGCAGTGGGGTACTCTATAGTGAGTACAGCCCAATTAGGGTTTGCTATATGTATCCAACTGCTTGCTAGTGAACCTCCTCCTTTCTTCATTCTTACTTTCTACTGCTAGTTCTGACATGCTATCAGAGCAGGTCGATCCCCTTGGGTCGATCCTGTGGGTGGGGCCCACCACCTCACTGCTTCCACTGCTACTGCTACTCTGTGTGTTGCACGCCCCGTGGCGTGCGACGGATTTTTCATCCCGCCGCGCGCTCGGAGCGTGCGGCGGTTTTCTGCCCGCCGTGCGCCCCGAGGCGCGCGGCGGTTTTCTGCCCGCCGTGCGCCCCGAGGTGCGCGGCGGTTTTCTGCCCGCCGTGCGCCCCGAGGCGCGCGGCGGCTTTCTGCCCCGTCACTCCGCGCGTCGCTCCCGGGAGGCGCTGCGACGGGCGACGGGGACCCGCGCGTCGCCCCCCGTCGCCCATCGCGGCCTGCGCGACCTGCGTAGGGCCCGCGCGCGGCCCGTACAGCCTGCGCGCGGCCCGTACGGGCTGCGCCAGGCCCGCGCGCGGCCCGTACGGGCTGCGCCAGGCCCGCGCGCGGCCCGTACGGGCAGCGCCAGGCCCGCGCGCGGCCCGTACGGACTACGTCAGGCCAGGGCGCGCCTCGGGCCGCCCGCACGCGGTTCGTACGGGCTGCGCCAGGCCCGTGGGCGCCCTGTTTTCTCTGCCCCTGCGCTGCCCGCTGTCCCCCGTGCTTCTGACGGCGCCCCACCCCTGCTGCTGCCCGTTCTCCTGAATTAGGGTTTGGGGGTGGGGGGTATGGGGGTGCGGTTTCTGTGCGTCGTCCCCTACTCCTCCTCCTCCTCCGTCTCCCAGTGCTGCAGCTGCCGCTGAGGGGGGTGGGTGTGTGGGAGCCGAAGGAGTGGTACTAGGGGGGTGACGTGCAAGTGGAGTTAGGAGTGAAGCAGTGGGTGTGTGGGGGGTGTGTGGGACAGTTGGAGGAGGTTGAGCGGGGGCTGCTGTCTTGTCGTCCGCAGCACCTGTAGTCCGGGGCGCACTGTCCTGGTAGCCCAGAGAGTCTGCTGCGCCTGTCGCCCGAGGGTCCGTTGCTCCTGTAGCTCCTCGTAGCCCGTGAGCCAGTTACTCCAGTAGTCCGGGGCGCACTGTCCCGGTAGCCACTGTGCCAGCAGCTCCTGTTGCCCGTGTGTCTGCAGCTTCAGCCGCCGTCTCTCATCTTCTCTCTTCTCACAGTCCCTCCTCCTCCTCACTTGCCCGCTGTGACTACCACTAGCTTTGCTTATAATTGTGAACTATTACTATGCTTGCTTGTTGTGCTGATTACACCCCACTTTGGCTATGGGGGTGTGTCAGAATGTTATAATTGTCTAGCCTGCAGTGGGGTACTCTATAGTGAGTACAGCCCAATTAGGGGCCACAGCAGTGGGCAAGCAGTCCTTGTCTAAAACGACTGAATAAATGCCTCTTGTCCCAATCAGCATGCCACGACGATCATTGTTGGCGGCAAGAAGGGCTGGCCCGGCGTCAAAGATTGGAAAATGCCGACATCGCCCTCACCCAGACCTGAGGATATCTTAGGTACGCCGCGTTATAACTGGGATCATGTGGGAGTTGATTCGTGGTACGACGTGGGAGAGCACCCGATAACTTATCGCAAATAAGGCCGTCATTCCGCATATATGATACATTACACTGCAGATTACCCATGCCCTGGATTCATCACTTTCACATGAGAGGGTAAACAAAGGCTTAGGTCACCCTCTCCCATGCCATGGAACAATGCGCACCTGTTTTGCTGCATAATATGAGTGCAGTTCTGGATTTCTCTTGGCCCATGTGTATGCATTTGGTTTCTCGCCCATTTCTGCAGTCTTCAAGTGGAGCACTGCTAGCCGCTTCGGCTTATCTCGCAAGCACAGCCTGGCTTTGGTCCCTACTCAGATAGCGATGGATGCATGCGATAAGAAGTCCGTCTCGAAAATGCTTGTGAAGCCTTCGAGCAAGGGTTACAAGTCCTACGCACTTGGTACTTCTGCTTCTTACATGATAAGCACTGTGGGGAAGGATTGTTCCAAGAAGGGCATGAAGCTATATGCTATTGCCCCCCTGAATTAAATGTTTGATTGAATATCTTATGTGATTTTTTAAAACCAGGGTCTCACGTAGATCATTTGTTTTGCAGTTGATGACTTCACTTTGGTTAGGATTGGTTGGCGAGGTGTATAGAATGACGAGCGTTGTGACGAGGGGAGCGAAGGAAACATAAATCGCAGTTTGTGTCCGAACCATCTAGGCACTGAAATTGGTTCGGTGCCAAAGCTAGAACACCAGCAAAATGTTCGAGCATCTTGCCAGTCTCATGTACCATCAAAATGGTTTTGCAATTGCTTCAGAGGCAAAAATGGGAGGCGTCGCACAGTCAATTGCCAAACCAACCCCTAGACTTTGCCACCTCAAACAGGATTACTCTAAGGAAAATTCCTTTTCCTTACTTCGCGCCCCTGCTTACCGCGTACAAGACCATTCCCGCCATCGGCACCCAAACAGTGAAACGTTACCCGCTCGCGACACTCGCCTCGACTACGACTCCCGCCACTATTCACGATGCGACCCAACCTCACGGTTCGGTTGGTAACCCGCGATCCGGACCTCCGCCTCGACATATCCCAACCTCGGCGCTAGGCCCGTAGCGCACCCCAATTCCTCGCGTTACCGTTACCACTCTAGTTCGCTATATATTCTCCGCGCATGCTTTCGCTCATTGTATTGTTTTGCTTCGATAGTGCAATTCTCGCTCGCTCGCTCAATTGCACTCGTAACACTTGGTATTAAGAGCCTACGATCTCCTCTCGGACCGCACCCACACCTTCGCTTCCCCACTATCTCATTTTTTGGGGGGGGTAGACGTCTCTCAGCGAACAAGCACCGCCGCTCGAAGTGCTCTCTCGTAAGCACGCACGGCCACGACAGAGGCTCTCGCTGAGCTTGCCCGACACCCCCGCCATGGCCGACATTAATCTCGCGACACTAACGCAGGAGCAGCTCGACCGTCTCGTGTGCCAACTCGAAGATTCGGCGCTCGAAATTGTGACACTCACGGCGGAACGCGACTCCGCTCGCCAGCAATCGACGGTGAATGCACCAACGCCAACACATGCACTTGCAAATCCACCTGCACAATCGGAGGAGCCGATCGTCATCTCATCAGGCACACCGACACAGAACGACAGCATGGGACAACGCTCAGGCGTAGCTAGTGATGGCGCAGCTCACTCAATGCCTGGCATGGAGAGGAACAGGGCTGCAACAGGCACACAAGGGCCTCGCGAAGTCCGCCGGCACGTGGAGTTCGCCGCAACGAGTGGCAACAACGACATCATGGAGCCAATGCCACTCAAGCCGCAGCGCCCGCCCTGCTTCGATCCTGGGTGAAACAATGATTGGCATGAAGGTGCCACAAGGCCAGTCCACATGCAAGTATATAGCAGATATAGGAGATGCAAGAGTACAAAACAAGCAAGACAAGCATCTCTACGGAAGCAAGGAGCCACAAGGCCAGTCCACAAGCAGAGATATAGCAATGATAGTGAGATGCAAGAGTTCAAGACAAAGCATCTCTACGCAAGCAGGTGAGGGTCTGTAGACACAAGGCCTAGCTGGGTGCAGAAATGCTGGTGGTCACAGGGCGGCAACGCCTTGGTGAAAATATCTGCTGTGTTGGCCTCAGAGACCACACGTCTCACGAGTGCCTGGCCACGCTACTGCACCTCGCGCAGAAAGAAGTAACGAAGCTGGATGTGCTTCGCCTTCCCAACCAGTTGGGGCTCCTCGCACAACAGGATAGCAGACATGTTGTCAGCGAACAAGACTGGGGGAGAGCTAGGCCGCTCACCAAGGTCAGTGAGGAGGAAAGTCAGCCAGCGAAGCTCCTAGGCGGCCATGGCCGCATCGTACACCTCTGCCTCACAGCTGGAACTGGAGACGGACGACGCCCTAGTCGACCTCCACAAAACAACTCCGGTCCCAAGGCTGAAGCAGTAACCCTATGTAGACCGCAGCGGCTCAGCATCGTCGGCCCACGACGACTCCGAGAAACCTGTGACTGTAACTGGCTGCTTCCCTCCAAGGACAAGTCCCATGCCTGATGTACTCGCCACATACTTCGCCACCCTCTTAGCAGCGTACCAGTGGGAAGGTCGGTGTCTCCCAGGCGCAACAAAGCAAGCAAGGACGCTAAGAGGGTAAGCTAGGTCTGGGTGAGTACAGGTCATCAGGTACATGAGATAACCCACCAGCTCAGGATATGGACCGCTGGACTCATTTGGCTCGTCTGAAGGTGGAGCCGTGAGCCCATGATCCACAGCAAGAGGGGTGAGCTGTACCTTGGAGAACGGGAAGCGAAACCGCGTGAGGATCTGCTCGACCATATGCGACTACGTCAGCGTAATGGTGCGAGCTGCCCTCTCCCTAGTGATCTGCAGGCCAGGGTAGCACTGCAGCCCACCAAGGTCAGTGCAAGTGTGTCTCCTCTGCAGTTCCTCCTTCATGGAGGCCAGTGCGTGTCGGTCGGGAGTGGCAAAGACCAGGTCGTCAACGTAGACCAGAACAAACAACGGGGTCGAGCAGCGGCGGACGAACAACGACGGGTCGGCAAACGACGGAAAGAAGTCAAGCGCTGCAAGAGTCGTACGTAGCGTGTCGTGCCACTCGCGGGGAGCCTGGCGCAGGCCGTAGACTGGTCGACGCACTTGCGTCTGGGTCCCAGGAGGGGAAGTGCAGTGAAGCCAGGCGGACGACGCAACCAGATCTGCTCGTGCAGGCTCCCCTAAAGGAACGCGGTGGAAAAGTCCAGGGAGTGCAACTCGTAGTCGCGCTGTGCTACAATACGCAGCAACACCCAAAGAGTTGTCATCTTCGGGGTGAGAGCGAAGGTCTGGAAGAAGTCTACCCCCTCTCGCTGACTGAATCCTCTCGCCACATAGCGCGCCTTAAACATCAGTGGTGCTCCAGGCGACTGCTTCACCTTCTGGAGCCACATGCCACTGACTACGTTCGCCTCAGGTGGTGGGACGGCGTCGATGTAGGTGCCTGTGGACCTATAAGATGCCATCTCTGCCTCCTCAGCTGCTATCCAGTACGAAGCCCACGGTCCCGAGACCTCCTCGGCGTAAGTGCGAGGGATCGGTATGTCAAGGGTGTCTGGATTCCCCTCAGGGGCAAGCAGCATGGCGCAGAGATGAGGAACAGCGGCCGCCAGGATACCAAGCTGGAACTGCCTGTCCTCCAGGGCCTCTAGGGGAAAAACAGGAACACCCCCAGTGGACGGAGAACGAGTAGTGCCGCTCACCAGGTGAGAGGCGTAGTCAAGGCGGTGGGAAGAGGCAAAGCCAGCGACAGTGGTAACAAGAGCCGAGACAGACAGCGGGGGGGCAGTCGGGTGAGTGACCAACAAGGACAAAACACGGGAGACGATAGGATGGGAGGCACGGAGGTAGTGGGACAGTGGGTCGGGAAACACAGTAAGGGACGACTCAGGAGGCTGTGGAAGGACTGGAGGAGGTGGAACACGAGAGCGGAGTACAAGGTGAAACGGGCCGCCAGCACGGTAACGAGACCGACGAGGCTCTGGAGACACAGCACAACTGAGGGGAGAGCGACGAGTCCTCGGGGACGAGGCAAGGGACTCGACAGGTGGAACATGAGGGGACGGTAGGGGACCATGGACCAAGCGTGCAGGTGCCGGGTCAGGCAGGTCTCTCAGTCGCTGCTGCTCCGCCTCCTCCAGCGTCTACTGCGGTGGCACCTGCCCCTTGCTGCTGCTCCTACTGCTCCTGGTGTGGCTCCTCCTCCACTCTCTCCTGCGGCGGCTGCAACTGCACCTGCTGCTGCGGCCGTGACTCCGCCTCTACCATCTCCTGCTGCGGCCGCAACTGCACCTCCTGCTGCGGCCGGGACTCCTCCTCTACTCTCTCCTGGTGCGACTGCAACTGCACCTGCTGCTACGGCCGGGGACTCCTCCTCTACTCTC